CTCCCCTCCCGCCCCTCCCGCCTCTCGGCCCCCTCCTCCCATCCCCACCAGCAGCACAGCCCAACCCCAGTTCCCACCCCCGGAGGCTCGTCCGACCCGCAACCAAACGGCCCAGCCGCTGCCGCTGCAGAAGCAGAAGAGAAGGCCGACGCATCGCGGCCAAACGCCCCCACCCCCGTCGCAGGGGGCAGCGGAACCAGCACCCCGTCACGGACAGCCGACGACAGCAGCGACGCGGCGGCAGTCGACGCGGATGCCACAGCCGTAGATGCGGCGGGAGTGGATGGCAGCGAGGCTGAGGACGACGGCGCGGTGGCGGAGGTGAGGTGGGAGACGTGCAAGGTCAGGAGGGGGGTGTCGGCCACGGACTACATCCCGTGCCTCGACAACATCAGGGCAATCAAGGCACTGCGCTCCAGGCGGCACATGGAGCACCGGGAGCGCCACTGCCCCGCGCCGCCGCCCAGGTGCCTGGTGCGAATGCCTGCGGGTTACCGGCTCCCCGTGCCGTGGCCGCGCAGCCGTGACATGGTGAGGACATTCGCGCTTGCCTTTGTCGGTAAGACACGGAAGCGCCTCTAGTTGTTCATGTTCTCTGCTCTTGTCCTCTGTGTTATCCATGCTGTCTTTATTTATGTAATTGGGTGTTCAACTGCCAACGTATTATTTACTTTCGGTATTAGAACATAACCAATAAACGCAAATTGGGACTATCCTCCTTTTATGGAAGCTACTGTGCTTAGGATGTCTAATTTGGTATCAAGAAGCAGTGTAACTAATCTTGGATTGGATGTCTGATAGCATTAGTAACCTTACACAATATAGGCCCTTGACCCTCAACCATTATGAGGTTTTAAGTACAGTTTAGCATACCACTGATGATTGTTAATCTCCTTTCTGAATTCCAGATTTGGTACAACAATGTTCCTCACCCAAAACTGGTGGAATATAAGAAGGATCAGAACTGGGTTACAAAGTCTGGTGATTATCTTGTTTTCCCTGGAGGTGGAACTCAATTTAAAGATGGTGTTGCAAGATACATACAGTTTGTAGAACAGGTAAATATTACTCTGCCACCTTGATCTACATTTGAACATATTAACTTTGGAAGAAAATTCCAAGTACTTCTATTGCCAAGTGAGTTCTGTGTCCTTGTGAATGGAGATGCTTCTTGTGTGTATGTTTGCCAATGTTCAGTATTGCCTTTGGTAACATTGGGACTTTAGGAGTGAATATAATCGTTGTCCAATCGCATCCAACAATAATAACACCAGTAGCAAAATAACACTATCGTACTTGTTTCAATTGAGATCCTAAACTATATTAATTTGTTGTAATAGCCACCTTCATCTTAACATCTTCCTGCTTTTTTCTCACGGTGAAGTCAATAGCTTTTCATTTATTAGCAAGTTCTGGATACAATCAGCCTTTGGTTAGTTTCATGTTGATTATTTTACCCTGTTTCAACAAGTAGAACAGGTAATTATATGCTCTTAGAGGTAGAGCAAATCTGTACTGTTATTGTTTGATTTGCACGTACTACTGTGCTTACATTGCTTAAATAATTAGCCCAGAATCCAAACGTAGAAATGGAAATGGTTTCCCAAGAATGCTGCCATTGGTCTTCATCACAGCTCCTTGTTTTTTTTTCCTCTGAGGTCATATCATGATTTCCTGTTATAAATTTGTTGTAGATAATGCCTACCATTCAATGGGGAACACATACGAGAACTGTCCTGGATGTTGGATGTGGTGTCGCCAGCTTTGGTGGATACCTGCTTGACAGGAATGTCATTACTATGTCATTGGCCCCTAAAGATGAGCATGAAGCTCAGATACAGTTTGCATTAGAGCGTGGAATTCCAGCATTTCTAGGAGTAATCGGAACTCAAAAGCTCCCTTTCCCTGATAATGCATTTGATGTGGTCCATTGCGCAAGGTGCAGGGTCCATTGGTATGCAAATGGCAAGTGTTCTATGCCTTCACGGCATTTTTAAGCTACCGTAGTATCTATATCTCAACCTTTTCAGATAAGTATTCCATTTCCCCCCTGCTAATCTGTTTTTAAATATCTATTACTATTGGGATGTGCAGGTGGAAAACCACTACTGGAGCTTAACAGAGTGCTAAGGCCTGGAGGATTTTTCGTTTGGTCTGCAACACCTGTCTATCGTAAAGAACAAAGAGATCAAGATGACTGGAATGGTTCGTAACCATATCATATAAAATTCTTATCCTAGTAGTAGTATTATCTTAGAGATTGCCACAAATGTTAGAGGAAGTGAACAGATATGTGTAAGGATTGCTGACAAAACACGCTATCATACTGATTGATGCAAAGTTGGAGACTATATAGAAGTGCAGTAGCTACTTTTAGCGTAGGTCAATCCTGTAGAAAAGGATATCCACATTCTCCGACATGAAAACATGCGTCGGAGGTAGAACAAGATGGTGTCGCTACTAAGCAAATGATATCATATTTCAGTATTTTACTCAAGTTGCTAAAGATGTCCATAGCAGTGCATCGTTAATATTATGTATAGTTTGCAAGTAACTAGTGTCATTTTTGTGGGCAATTTTGTGCTAACTGGGAATCCATTACATTTGGCAGCAATGGTTACTCTGACCAAATCAATGTGCTGGAGGACAGTTGTAAAATCTGAAGATATTAATGGAATTGGTGTTGTTATATATCAAAAACCGACCTCAAATTCTTGCTACCTTGAGAGGAAAACCGATGAACCCCACCTGTGTTCCAAGAAAGATGGATCACGTTTTCCTTGGTACGTCATAGCTTGCTTCATTTTCCTCGTTGTTGTTTCACCAAACTTCAGACTGCTAGTGGTCTTCTAGCATGTTGTGGCCTCTCTGTGTTTATAACTTACTGGCTCATGGGCAGACATCAGTTGTGTGATCGATACCATTTACAGCCTATCCTTATTAAAGATAATGTAGATATCATAGTTTATTTATAACTAATACTGCAGTTTCGAATTGGTTTCATCTATACCCACTTGTTTTATCTTTGCTTTTGCAGGTATGCTCCTCTTGATAGTTGCATTTTGCCATCTGCTGTTTCCAGTTCAGATGAAACAAGCAATTCTCCCCTTCTGTGGCCTGAAAGACTTATCAGATACGCTAGTCTGCCTGATGATTCTGCTACTATCGAGAAGTTTGATGCTGATACTAAGTATTGGAAACAAGTCATTTCAGAAGTATATTATAATGACTTTCCAGTTAATTGGTCAAGTGTCCGTAATGTAATGGACATGAATGCTGGTTATGGAGGGTAAGAGAACACCAATTTCTGCTGATTAATTTTATGAAATTCATTTTTCTTATGCCATCAGTATTGATCCTAGTAGCTTTTGGTGCTTGTACTTCTGCTATTCTGGTGATGTTGCTTCCTTGAGTTGGCCTGAGTTTTGGCCATACAAATATGTACATTCATTAGTACAAGATTGCTTGAACTCACTGATCATCTCTCGGCAATGGAGTAAATGTTTCTCCTTAGTGGTTACTAATTATTTAGGACTGCCAAGTCAGATGTCTATTTTCTTATTGGGATTATGCAAATCGGAAACTTCCCTTAGTGACACTAAAGATCATATTTCTGTAATCAGATGTAGATCTCCATAGCTTTTTTTTTTGGAACTATGTATAGTTGCTATCAATCGAACTATGACTGTTATGATGGGGATATTAATCAGACTACTTTTGTTGAACCAGGTTTGCAGCAGCACTTGTTGATAAAGCATTATGGGTTATGAATGTTGTACCTATTGGCCAGTCAGATACTTTGCCAGTAATTTTTAGCCGAGGTTTGATTGGGGTATATCATGATTGGTGCGAATCTTTCAACACATACCCAAGAACCTATGATGTTCTTCACATGAGTGATCTCCTTGGAAGTCTTACAAAGAGGTAAACAAGCAGTCACGCCTCATGAATTAATAGGACATGTGCTCCTTTTTGTCAGACTGTAGCCTGATATCAGTGTCTCCCTTTAGGTGTGACATCCTTGAAGTAGCAGCCGAAGTTGACCGGATATTGAGGCCTGGCAGATGGTTGGTGCTGAAAGACACCATGTACATGATGAAAAAGATGCGGCCAATTCTTCGCTCTCTGCACTACGAGACCGTAATTGTGAAGCGACAATTCCTTGTCGCCACAAAGAGTTTCTGGCGTCCCCGGTGATAAAGCTGACATGGACCAAACTTCTAAGGGAGTCAACCAAAGCACTAAGATTCTGTTGATTCTTTGAGTTCTGATCTGATCAAATTGTTTATACAACAGAGATGTGATTTGTTTGGGTCCAGGTAGCCCTGAAGTTTTCGGTGGTATATAGATACACACTTGTGCAGTCTCCGTGCCGATTCTTTTTCCTGCCAAAAGCAAAGCAATACAATAGGGATGGTATAGCTGTATAATCTAGTGCTAACAGATGCATACACAGAGGATACAGGATCATCTTTTGTATACTTGTTCAACAAAATTATTTGTGTACATTGAACAATAAAGATTTTGAAGCTTGTTCAACCAAAAATATGGGCCCCTTCCTTTCTTCTATCTGTCTCCATAGTTCTGCAAGAGCAATATATGGGTCCCTTACTTTCTTCTATCTGTCTCCATAGTTCTGCAAGAGCAATATATGCCAGGTATATATTTGACGATGTCCAGTACCTGCGGACTACCAGAATGTAGATCCCCTCGCACGGTGCACAGATATACAGTCTTTTTTTTTTTTGCAGGTGGTGCACAGATGTATTACTCCTTAACCATGTGAGGCAGATACCTACTGACGATTGAATTGAACACAAGACGAGCTTGTGAAGGATATACATTCTCTGGTTCACATTGTATATTGAAATGCGACTGAATTTATTTTCAAATGCTTACAGAACTTCGGCCTCCCAATATATTGCTCTTCCTTGGAAGTTTTTGAGACATGCACCATAGCCTCTTCTTTTTAGTGAGAGAGAATAGGCGTTGTTCAGCTTTTTATAGAAAGCTTAAAACTGTCTTGCAGTTATGTCGGGGGTTGGATGCGACATATGCCAAAGGATGGCTTATCATAGCGGGGGCGAGTAGAACGTCACCGGTGCCTGGAAACGGGATGAGGCATAGACATGCACGCCGGCGAATCTTACCTAGCTTCAGGGCTCTCCGGGGAGATAATACCCCTACTGCTGCTCTACGGGGTCTCCGCATGATCACTATGGCAAAGAGTTTACACGATTGCTCCTTGAGCTGTTTTCTGGAGGTAGGAGAGGGCAAGGCTAGCTCTCTCCCTCTTATATGATCTGGTCTGGGGCTAATGGATTCCAACCCTTTGCATGGGTGCCCTGAGGGGTTTATATAGGCCTACCCCCCAGGGGTACAATGGTAATCTGACTGGATGCGGGCCCAGCCGTCAGTGTCTCCGGCCTTCGTATTCTCTGCCGACTGGTGGGGCCCGCCGACTGGTGGGCCCCGCCAACTGGTTAGGTACGGAGCCGACAGGCCGCGTCCGCCGCGGGCGGGTCTTGCCGGCTGCTGATTACTGTAGCCGTGCTTCTGATGACGCGGGCTTGGTCATGGAGTCATGGCAACAGCCCCGCCGCCTGGCGGGCGATCACTATTGCCACTCCCCGTCACATCTGATTAATGGCGCGCGGGCCCGGGGAAGGATCTGGCCGACTCCCAATGGGTCCGACTGGGGGTGCACTTGCCGTCTCCTGGGGTCCCACTGGCTGGTGGGACCCGCCGCCCCAGGGTCGTACAGACAAGCCGTCGTGGGCACAGGATTCGGTCCTTTGGTGCTGATGTCAGGGCCGGCACGGCAACAGTACCACGCTGCACGGAGATCTTCCCGGGTACGGCGTGCTGTAGCCATGCCTGCCCCTGGTAAGGGGTAGGAGTGGGCTTGACTGTAGCCACTTCCCGTCCCGTCCCTCTTGATGAGGGCATGGGATTTGTTGGAGTCGCGGGCCGACTCCCCAAAGCCGGCTTCCCTGGAAGTCGCTAGTCAGGAGTCGGCTTATCCTGAAGTCGTCAACGGGACTCGGCCGCGAGTGGGTAGTCGGCTGTCTTGCCGCCGACTTCTTAGAAGGCGGCTCTTCGTCCTGGGGTCTTGAGGGGCGCAGCCTGCCCCGATGTCTTGAAAGGTTCTGGGGCTCGGGTTAGCCTACCCGTGACCCATTACTCTGACAGTAGTCCCCGAAGCTGATGAGGCACCGTGGACGATCGGCCGAGAAACCTCAGCAGTTTCTCTCTCCGGGTGCTCGACACATGGTTCTTGCTTGATTTCCGTCGGGCCGACTTGAAGGAGTCGGGCTCGCCCAACTCTGACTTGCACAGTATTTCGAACGTCTTGGCGGGATCCAAGTAGCGTGCCGGCTAAGCTTCCAGGCCGCCGGCCGTTCCGGGCCCGTCATGTGGCAGTGCGCGGCCGGGCTAGTCTGCCAGCCTACGGGTGTGACGGGACAGGCCCGTAGGAGGGGCCCGCCACTACCGCGCCTCGGCCCTCGAGCGGATCCGCTGTGGCCCGCGCTGACGGTTGGGATTCTGGTGAAGTTACTGCGCGCAGTAACTTTGTCGTGGAAACGTGGGGGTCGTGGGGTCGTGGGTGCAGTAAATCCCACGCCCGCCCCTCGGCTTCACAGCCCATGAGGCTATAAGTAGGGGGAGGAGGAGGGCGCGGCAGAGCACGCGCGCCCCTCCTTCCCACTACTCCTTGCTCTTCTCCTTCTTCTTCTTCCTTGCTCCGCTGCGCGCCCAAGCTTTGCCGAACGCCGCGGCGATCAGCTCGTGATGAGTTCATCTTCTGCCGCCGCGCCTCCCTCGGTGCATTCCGGCATCTGGGACGGCTCAGAAGTGCACGATGACCACATCGAGTTCCTCCGCAAGACTCGTCATCTCCCCGACGAAGATCACGTTGTAGGATCGAAAGTATGTCTAGAGGGGGTGATTAGACTACTTGACCAAATAAAACCTTAACCTTTTTCCAATTTTAGTTCTTGGCAGATTTTAGCTATTGTAGGACAAGTCAAGCAATCATCACACAATTCAAGCAAGCATGCAAAAAGTATATTGGCAGCGGAAAGTAAAGCATGCAATTTGCAAGAATGTAAAGGGAAGGGTTTGGAGAATTCAAACGCAATTGGAGACACGGATGTTTTTCCCGTGGTTCGGATAGGTGGTGCTATCCTACATCCACGTTGATGGAGACTTCAACCCACGAAGGGTAACGGTTGCGCGAGTCCACGGAGGGCTCCACCCACAAAGGTAACGGTTGCGCGAGTCCACGGAGGGCTCCACCCACGAAGGGTCCACGAAGAAGCAACCACCCACAAAGGGTCCACGAAGAAGCAACCTTGTCTATCCCACCATGGCCATCGCCCACGAAGGACTTGCCTCACTAGCGGTAGATCTTGACGAAGTAGGCGATCTCCTTGCCCTTACAAACTCTTTGGTTCAACTCCACAATCTTGTAGGAGGCTCCCAAGTAACACCTAGCCAATCTAGGAGACACCACTCTCCAAGAAGTAACAAATGGTGTCTAGGTAATGAACTCCTTGCTCTTGTGCTTCAAATGATAGTCTCCCCAACACTCAACTCTCTCTCATAGGATTTGGATTTTGTGGAAAGAAGATTTGAGTGGAAAGCAACTTGGGGAAGGCTAGAGATCAAGATTCATATGGTAGGAATGGAATATCTTGGTCTCAACACATGAGTAGGTGGTTCTCTCTCAGAACATATGAGTTGGAATTGTGTATGTGTTCTGATGGCTCTCTCCACAAATGAAGAGGAGGTGGAGGGGTATATATAGCCTCCACACAAAATCCAACCGTTACACACAGTTTTCCAATCTCGATGGGACCGAATCAACAAACTCGGTCGGACCGAAAAGGTAAACGTAGTGACCGTTAGAAATTTTCGGTGGGACTGACATGCAACTCGGTAGGACCGATATGGTTAGGGTTTGGGCATAACGTAATCTCGGTGAGACCGATTACACAAACTCGGTGAGACCGATTTTGGTAATTAGCTAACCAGAGAGTTGGTCAGGCAAACTCGGTGGGACCGATTTGCTCTTTCGGTGAGACCAAAAAGTTACAAAAAGGAAACACTGAATTTACATTGCAATCTCGGTGGGACCGATCCGCTATTTCGGTGAGACCGAAAAGTTACGAAAGGGAAACAGAGAGTTTGCAATCCCATCTCGGTGAGACCGAGATCCCTATCGGTAGAACCGAATTGCTAGGGTTTGGCAGTGGCTTATGACAAGTGAAACTCGGTGGCGCCGGATAGAAAGAATCGGTAGGACCGAGTTTGGCTTAGGGTTTAGGTCATATGTGGATATGGGAAAGTAGCTGAGGATTTTGGAGCATATCATTAAGCACATGAAGCAAGAGGCTCATTAAGCAACACCTCATCCCTCCTTGATAGTATTGGCTTTTCCTAAAGACTCAATGTGATCTTGGATCACTAAAATATAAAATGAAGAGTCTTGAGCTTTTGAGCTTGAGCCAATCCTTTGTCCTTAGCATTTTGAGGGTTCCACTTTCACATCCATGCCATGCCAATCATTGAGCTTTTCTGAAATAGTCATCTTGGAATAGCATTAGCTCAATGAGCTATATGTTTTTATGAATTACCAAAACCACCTAGGGATAGTTGCACTTTCAATCTCCCCCTTTTTGGTAATTGATGACAACATATAGATCAAAGCTTCGACAAATGATAATAAGCATGAAATATATCGTCGCTTTGAGAAGTATGTGACAAGTAAGAGCTCCCCCTAAATTTGTGCATATTTAAAATTTGCTTTGGACTGCAAATGCACAAGGAGTTAGAGTCATGGGTTACTCTTCCATGTCACATACATCTTGGTGGAGCGCTTAAAATGATAAGAATGAAATACATGCACTCATCACCATGAATAGTGAATGATCACATAAGATAGATAAGATAATAGCATTCACCAAGCATTAAGTGTAGCTTATGATCAAACACATGATCATCAATGTCTCACAGATAACGGCATAGTATCTCACACAAAAGCAAACAAAGTTCGAAAAACTACCAAACAAAACAAGAGAGAATAAAAGCAACACTCTCTCTCTCGAAGCCTATGATCTATACATTTTTCTCCCCCTTTGGCAACAAGTTACCAAAAAGTTCCTAGAAAATGCATAGTGCTAGATCGACGCTCA